TATTTTATTTTTTACACTACGACTTGGAATTATGGGTAATCCAGAGCGTAGATTATAACCATAACCGTTATGTACAATGTGTTAGCGACGAGACAAAAAATCATGGTTACGTGGTTTTCATGATGATTCTCCTGCTTTTTCTGGTCCTTGATTTGTTGTTTCTGACTAAAGAGATCCAACATTTGTGCTCCAGAAACTGAAAGTTTGTAGATTTTATTATTACTGGTCTCTGTATCTCTGTGTATTCAATAAGGGGTGAGTGTTTTCACGTGGAAAGTTGTCTCACTTTCTATAATGTTCTTAATGTTGGTCGTAGGATGCAGGTGACTTTGTTGGTGAAAAGGTTGAAAAACTTCTTGTAATGAGAGCAACAGCTAAAGTCCTGACACCATTATTGTTAACCCTTTCAAAAAGGCTTTGTGTGACACCCAACCATGGGCTGAGTCTGCACTCTCATGCACAAAGCCGTCAACCTCAGCCAGGTGTATAAAAGCTGGGAACCTACAGGTATGACTGCACTCAGCCTCTTCCAGCTCCACTCCGACAACATGGCCCCTACAGACATGAACATGATGAGCAGGGTAAGTCCACACAGCCATTAATATTCCTATGCTTTCAGGGTTGATCAGTTCAACAAATATTGTGGGTCCTGGTTTAGGATGAAACCCAAAAAACATTGTCATCACAGAAGTTAAGAGTGATTGAGGTCTTTTCAGTTTGTTGGCCAATTTTGTGACCACTTTTTCTCTAATATTTTTGCTGCTGTAATACGAGAATTTCCCCATTATGGGAAAATAAAGGGATTTTTAATTTTCAATTCTATTCTATTCTATTCTATTCTATTCTATTCTATTCTATTCTATTCTATTCTATTCTATTCTATTCTATACTATTCTATTCAAACTGCCATGTTCACAACAATCTAATAGTAAATCTGTGAGTATAGCTCAGAGAATAGGGACAGAATCAACTGGAAATGGCTAAATAATACTTTAAATAGTATATTTTTTTAAAGAAGGATTGTAATCTTTCTTGAAGACGGTTTAGATGATAGGTTAGAGAGACCAAGATTTTTATTGTGTATCTTAGTGTATTCTTGCTCCACTTTGGTCTTTTCAATCACCTGATTCCTGCTGAACAAGACAGACTTCTCCGTAAAATGTGTTAACATAATTGAATTTATCATCAGGAATGACGCAGCCTGACTTTCATCATAAAAATGTACATGTTTCTCCTCAGATCATCTTCTATGAAGACAGGAACTTCCAGGGACGTTCCTATGACTGCAGCAGTGACTGTGCCGATTTGTCCTCCTACATGAGCAGGTGTCACTCCTGCAGAGTGGAGAGAGGCTGTGTCATGGTCTACGATCGCACCAACTACATGGGTAACCAGTACTTCATGAGGAGGGGAGAGTACGCCGACTACATGAGCATGATGGGAATGAGCGATGGCATCAGGTCCTGCCGCATGATCCCTATGGTAACCAGCTATTTTACTAAACCACTCACAATACAGCATATGTAATCTTCATGGTAACTACTCAGCTTACGTCACTACTTTGCCCCCTGGTAACCAGACACATTTAAACTAAAGTGTTCCTCATGGTATCCAGGGAGACTTCTTGCTGGGATGTAACTGATACCTATAGATGTGTTGCATGTATATTGAAATATTAAAGTAAGAAGATATGTTAGCGTCTAATGGAAGAGGAGAAAATTACTTTTGTTCTAGAAGCACTCTACGTATATTATGTCCATTGTTTTCATTTATTAGATGTCTGTTACTTCCTGACATTTAACTTACTAAATAGATATGAACTCACAAAATATTTTCTTCATCTTCTAGTATCATGGCTCCTACAGAATGAGGATCTATGAGAGGGAGAACTTTGGTGGCCAGATGTATGAGATGATGGACGACTGTGACAACATCATGGATCGTTACCGTATGTCCAGCTGCATGTCCTGCCACGTGATGGATGGACACTGGCTGATGTATGAGCACCCCCACTATAGAGGCAGGATGATGTACATGAGGCCTGGAGAGTACAGGAACTTCATGAACATGGGCATGAGCAACATGAGGTTCATGAGCATGAGGCGCATCATGGACTCCTACTACTGAAACATTTGAAGATGCAAAGCAGAGAAACATTAAAGAATTCTTTGTTTCTTTAAAATCTGTCAAGTTTTCTTAAGTTGTTGCACAAGATCTAGTTTAAAACTACATGGGGGTAAAAAAAAACAAACAACACAATTTTAAGTCTTCTTGAAACTGTGTAAAAATTTATCCTTAAAAAAACTAACAATTTCATTTGAAATTCTGGGCATTTCCATCACATCAAGACTACAACAGTAGTTTTAGAGACAAAGAATTGTTTTAACCATGTCTACCCAAAAATTAGCATTGAAGCCAAAGATTGAAGCAACATGAACACACCTTTCATAAATTACATTGTCATTCAGTAATACAAACATACACTTTCTAACTTCCTTAACTTACTTTCTTCTTTTGAAAACTAAAACTATAAACAATCTTGAAGGTATCTGATAGTATGTTAAGCATAATGAATCAGGTAACATCTCGTTATTAATCACACAATTTATCAGTGATTTTGGAACTTCCCTAACATTGTTTAATCTATAAAGAATTCAGTGTGGCAATTGGGTAGGTAGATTTATCTATGGTAACCAGCGAGTCATGAAAATTTTCAATATGACAAAAGCAAAAAATAAATAAAAATAAATAATTTTGTAATTTCAGACGAAAATGCTTACATACACAAAAAGCTGTTTTTTTAAGAATAGAATATGGGGGTATTTGACAAGCAGAATATGTGCACATAAAAACAAAAGCAGGGAGACTGCCCTACACCATGAGTAATCGAGCACACAAGATCCGCCAGCTCAGGAAGGAACTGAGGGTCCTGAGGCGGTAGTTTAAGCAGGCAAGAGAGGAGGAGAGGGGACCTCTCTCAGAGCTGCACAACATAATTCGAAAGAAGCTCCTGACTTTGAGGAGGGCTGAGTGGCATAGGAGAAGAAGGAAGGAAAGACCCAGGAGGCGTACTGCCTTTCTAGCAAACCCGTTTGGGTTTACGAAGCAGCTGCTGCGGCAGAAACGTAGTGGTCAACTTACCTGTTCCAAAGCAGAGGTCGACCATCACCTGGCTGCAACCTATGGAGATGCATCCAGGGAGCAAGACCTGGGAGACTGCCAGTCCCTGATTGACCCACCAGCACCAACGGTGGACTTCGATGGGAGGGAGCCCAGCTGGAAGGAAATCCAGAAGGTAGTCAAAAAGGCAAGATCAAGCTCAGCCCCCGGACCTAGTGGGGTACCTTACAAGGTGTACAAGAACTGCCCAAAGTTACTCCACAGGCTCTGGAGGATTTTGAAGGTAATCTGGAGGAGGGGAAAGGTTGCCGAGCAGTGGCGATTTGCAGAAGGTGTATGGATTCCGAAGGAGGAAGGGTCTACAAACATCGATCAGTTTAGAACCATCTTCCTGCTCAGTGTTGAAGGGAAATTATTCTTCAGCATTGTGGCAAGGCGTCTAACTGACTACCTCCTCAGGAACTCCTACATCGACACCTCGGTCCAGAAGGGAGGGATCCCAAAGATACCAGGGTGACTGGAGCACAATGGCATGGTCACTCAGCTGATCAGCAGCTGATCAGCTGGAGAAGGGAATCATCACCAGATGTACCATTTCAGTGATACTCTTCGCACTTGCTATGAACATGCTGGCGAAGTCCACCGAGGTTCAGTGCAGAGGGCCCCTAACCAAGTCTGGTGTCAGGCAGCCGCCCATCAGGGCCTTCATCGACAACCTGAACGTGACAACATCAAATGTCCCAGGGAGCAGGTGGATCTTGAAGGGGCTGGAAGAACTGACCACCTGGGCCCGCATGACCTTTAAGCCCGCTAAATCGAGATCCCTTGTGCTAAAGAGAGGAAAAGTCACCAACAAGTTCATCTTTACACTTGGCGGCAAACAGATACCATCCATCACAGACAAACCGGTGAAGAGTCCGGGGAAAGTTTTCAACTGCAGCCTGAGAGACACAGCAGCCATCAACGCAACCAATCAAGATCTGGAGGCTTGGCTAGCCACGGTGGACAAATCAGGTCTACCTGGCAAGTTCAAGGCCTGGGTGTACCAACATGGCATCCTTCCAAGGATTCTCTGGCCCCTCCTTGTGTATGAGGTCCCGATCTCCACGGTTGAGGGCTTTGAAAGGAGAGTCAGCAGGTTCCTGCGGAAGTGGCTGGGTCTACCGCGGAGCCTGAGCAGCATCGCCCTTTACGGAAAGAACAACATGCTGAAGCTCCCCTTCATCAGCCTGAATGAGGAATTCAAGGTGAGCCGAACTAGGGAGGTGCTGCAATACAGAGAGTCATGTGACCCAAAAGTCTCTCAGGCTGGTATCGAGGTCCGGACGGGGCGGAAGTGGAGGGCGGCAGAGGCTGTGGAAGTGGCGGAGTCACGGCTGCGGCACAGGACTCTGGTGGGGACAGTGGCTCGGGGAAGAGCGGGCCTTGGTAGCAGCACAACACCTTTCTGCGGTAAGGCAAAGGAGAAGAGGAGGAGAACGCTGCTCCAGGAAGAAGTGCGGGCAGCAGTGGAAGAAGAGCGGGCCGGCAGGGTGCTTGGAATGCGGCAGCAGGGAGCGTGGATGCGATGGGAGCAAGCAGCAGAGCGCAAAGTCACATGGACTGAACTGTGGAAAGCCGAGCCCCAGCACATAAAATTCCTTGTCCAGGCTGTATACGACGTATTGCCAAGCCCGTCTAACCTGTTCTGTTGGGGGAAGGTGGAGTCACCAGCGTGTGCCCTGTGCCAGAAGAGAGGGACCCTAGAGCACATCTTGAGCTGCTGTCCGAGGAGCCTGAGTGAGGGGCGCTATCGCTGGCGTCATGACCAGGTCTTGAAGGCCATAGCGAGCACCATCTGCAGTGGAATAGCCCACTGCAAGCGCCTCCGCCCATCAAAGAAGACTATCTCCTTCATCAGAGCTGGAGAAGGACCACCAGCTGTTGCCAGGGTCTCTTCCTCTGGCCTGCTCACAATGGCACAGGATTGGGAGCTGATGGCAGACTTGGGGAAACAACTGAAGTTCCCAGAAAATGTGGCCATAACATCACTAAGGCCAGACGTGGTGCTGACCTCAGCAACATCGAAGCATGTTGTGCTTCTGGAGCTCACGGTCCCTTGCGAAGACCGCAAAGAGGGCTAAGTACAGCGATCTGGTGGAGCAGTGTCGGCTCAATGGGTGGCGATCAAGGTGCGAGCCCATTGAGGTGGGATGCAGAGGGTTTGCTGGCCAGTCCCTCTGCAGGGTGTACAGCATGCTGGGCATCACAGGGGCCAGCAAGCGAAGGGCCATCAAGGAGGCAGCAGAGGTTGCCTCGCGGTGGCTGTGGATCAGGAGAGGAGATCCGTGGGTAGGGTAGCGCTACCCGGACACAAGCTGGGATCTGATCAACCCTGGCTGGGTCACCTGGAGGAGAGTGTATGATGTTTGAAAGACCCAAAACACTCTATGATACCAGGTAATATCACTGATGATGTGTCCAGGTTGCATCACTAGTGGATGTATGTACAAAGTGACAAGCAGAATATGTGCACATAAAAACCTGCATCCAATGGTAACTTTAAGTTTATAACAACGAAACTGTAGACTTAGTACCAGAAGTCATTCAACAAATAAGATAATCATAGATCTCTAAAAGACTTTTAATAAGAACACTTGCCCTGAGCACTAATCCTTCAGTTGTGCATTCCTGCCGAGAGTCTGCTACATTAAGGTCCATCACAAACCACACAGTTGGTAGGGTGAGTGGACCGTCCAAATTATTTCTTTTTCCATCTAAGGGAAGAGGCCATCCCATTCTCATTTACATCACCCACATACAACCCAGGCGCCTTCCACAGTTGTGATTGTGACTTCATTTTGAGTGACACTTGATAGTTAAGGGTTAGTGCTTAGGGGGTGGTTTGGAATTCAGCCTTGGCGTGCTACAGGGAGGGAAAGTGGAGCTTCAGCTCCTCTGGATGCTAATATAAACACCTAAGCACATCGGGGCAGGTAACAGCACACCTGAGACACTTTTTGCCAGAGGCTGAAGCTGTCAAAGATGGAGAGAAAAATCAATGGGAGGAAACCTGTACAATTTCAAGAAAGCGGTTTTGTTAACGCCTGCTGCCAAAGATTTTTTGCCTTTTTATTCAAGGGCTCAGCTGCTAGAACCCTGGACTTTATGCACCCCCGGAATCACACTACATTTTGTAGGAAGTAAACTCCCAGCTGTGCCTTTTTAACCAGTGCTTCTGCGTCCTCTGGCCCATTACGTCCACTTTGTGTGCCCTCTCCGCCCTCTTCCTAATGTTTCCATTGACTTCATTAATGGTTACCCTGTACATTAATCTAACTCTGTCATTCTCACAATAGTCGACATATTCTCCAAAAATTGTTTACTTCACCTCTTCTAAAGAAACCTTCCTCTGCCAAAGAAATGGGCAACATTCTTGCTTAGCAGCTTTTCCACTTACAATGCATTCCACAGACATCATATCTGACAGAGGTCCCCAATTTGTTGCCCAATACTGGAAGTAGTTCTGATCTCTGCTAGGGATCTCTGTCAGCCTGTCATCTGGTTTCCACCCTCAGACAGATCGGCAGACAGAGAGAGCCAACTAAGAGGTCAAGACCAAACTCTGCCTGCTCAATTAGCCTTATCCCACTAGATGAACATAAATTTTCCATGGGTCGAGCATACCATCAACTCCCTGCCCTATATCACCAGTAGTCTCTCTCCGTTTATGGAATCCAGTCTTCACCCTTTAATAAAAGCATTTAAAAGGCCATTCAACCTGACTATCAGCCCTGAGATGCCAACAAGCTTAGACAAAGCCTAGGAGGAATTTTGTCGAATATCCGAGGTCCAGTCACAGCCACCAATTGTCATCGCCCTGTTAGGACCAAAGTACCAGGTGGGACAAAAAGAATGGTTCTCTACCCATTGAGAGCTGGAAATTGGTTCCTTGGTTCATTGTCCCTTTCCTATCACTATAGTGGTGAACCCGGTGGCTCTACGCCTTGGACCATGAAGATCAATCCCAACTTTCATGTGTCCCGGGTCAAACCTGTCAAGACTTCCCGGTCCGGGCTGTCCTCCTGACCTCCTCCACCCTCCCGACTCATTGACGG